TCTTTGATTACCAGCTAAGAATCAAAATCACTGTACTGTAAGTAGTCAATAAATGAAGGTTTGTTTCAGGCTGAAGATTACCTAAGAGTATTTATTCTTGGAGTGTGCGAGTCAACTGAATATATTTTTTACTACATCAAGTCCTAGTATATTAATATAAGAAGAAATGGTAAAGTTTTGGTTGTGGGTTTTTTTTTTTTTAATCAGCCTATAAGGACAAGACTTAAACAGCTTAACATCTTCAGTAGTACTACTTAGATGGAAATGTGTTTTTACATATGGTTGAATGTACTGAGTTCTCAGAATTGGTGTCTGTAGTTGTACCGTCTGTTAGAATGTGATCCTTTTTTCTCCTCCTTTAGCAGTTGGTATCTAATTTGCTGTGGAAAACATCATAGAGTTTATTGGGATTGGGCTTAGTGAGGAATTAATTCGTTTGCAATGACTTTATTTTAAGCTAATGAGTTTCATTTGCACATCTTTCTTGGACATGGGATATAATGTTCCAGTTTATTAGCAGCAACTGCTAGAGAAAGGATTTTGGTGTTTTGGGTTAATTGCTTCTAAGAAAAATTTCATAGTGGACCGTTTAGAGAGAGAGGAAAAATTCAGTTTGGGATTGTGAAATAAACCACAAATTAAAATTTTTGTTTAAATTGTCTAGGATCTGATTTAAAAATCTGGTCTTTATTTTATGTGATTAAATAGTTTGTTTTCTTAGAAGATAATGTTACCCATTGTAAAAACTACGTATTTTTATTCTGTACTATTCTTGAAAATCTTTCTCCCATTTAAAAAAATAATCTCAAGGTTTTGTTTTTTCCATACCCTTTGCCTATGAATTGAGAGCTGTGATGTAATGCTTCTCATGGAGTAAAATAACGATTTATTTTAACCAAACATTCACCAAAGCAAAGAAAGGTTTCAGCCCTTTCAACCAGTATGGTTTTCCAGAATAGTTTCAATTTTAGCTGTATTTGATTACTTAGATAGGGGAATTAAAAAAATGCAAGTCAAAACAAAAAATACATACTATAGGTTACTGAGCGTAAATAACAATTTGGCAGTTTTATGTCTTTAGAAATGTTTTGCCTTTCGAAGCCTTGTGCTGGAGGCATTTAACGTTGGTGCCGCATCTACACACGGGGGCATTTGAGTCTTAACTTAAAAGTTGTCTGAGCTGCCCCCACCCCCTTTTTTTGGTTTTGAGTAAACCTTAAGGGTGTTTGTTAGTCACAAAACTGTGAAGTGACTTGTCAGAACAGTCCAGACTGGTAAGGACATTAATGGCTTCACTTGAATTTAAACCAGCTCTAGATAGGAAAAAAATCTAAGTCTCCTCATTTGCTTTTTTAATGGGGTAGCACATCCCATATTTTAGAATAAGTAGGGGTGCCTTGCTTAAATAAAAATAGCATTTAATGTATAATTGTGTGAAGGGTTTATGGATAAAGCTGTACTTCTGTCACATTGTGGCAGTACTTTCTGCTTTAATATTAAACAGCTTGTTATTTAAATATTGGACAAAATGGCTGGCTTCAAAATGTAGTCATTAATAAACTAACTTTATGTGTACCTGTGTAGGGGAATCAAAGTCCTGTATACTTTCTTTGCCT